CCCTAAGCTTGTGGCTCTGTGCTGTCAGTAAAACAGTATTTCTCCATAGTTCCTGCCTTGAATTCCTGCCTGACCTCTCTCAATAGGAGACAGGGACTTGGAATATAAGAGGAAACAAATCCTTTCCTCCACAAAACAGCTTTTAGTCCAAGTGTTTTATCACACCAAAAAGAATCAACCTAGGACAGTAAGTTAGAAACATATGTGCCCATCTAGTGGACCTCACAGTAGTGGGGCCATGTCACACAGGATGCCCACTACTGTTACCGAGCAGGCAGAAAGACTCACCAGTTTGTCATGCACAGGGTTGCAATGCCCAAATCCCCTCCCCCATACCTTTGGAACCATGAAATATTTGGAAGAAGAAAGGGCTTGGGAGGTTTCCTTTGCCCAGTGTCAAGATGTGGTACTTACAGAATAAACTCTAGAGATTGGAAGGGGCTTGAATTATTTAGTGTCTTAAAGAGGGGCCTGTGAGATGGCTCAGTGAGTGAAGAGCTTGCCACACAAGCCTGGCAACCTGAGTTCAATCCCCGGAACCCACATTAAGATGGAAGGAAAAAATCCACTCTGCAGAGTTGCCCTCTGACCTCCGCATGCATACCACGGCCCAGGTAACTGAGTGCTGACTCTGTGCCAAATACCATATATGTAATCTCATTTAATCATGAGAATAAATAGTGGTTTATAGAAAAGAAATTAATTTGGAGAAGGTAAGCAATCTCCCTAGTTCTTAGTCTTGGAATGCAAAGCTCATACATCTCAGTATGTCAGCGCTTCTCAAACTGGATTTCATAGATCTCTGGAAAAGCCCAACAAATGCTTTCCCAGGATCTGTGAACTCTCCAGAGTCCTTTTAATGTCACTTCAATGTCCTTTTAACCAACATGCTCTGGTCTTCCAGAAGACAATCTTAGGAGAGCACTTTGAGGATATTTGAATCTGGCTGGCTTCATGGTAATGCCAGTGAGGTTAGCAGGTGCACTACTACCGTCATTGTCCCAGTCCAATCAGAATAGAGGTGACTGAATGTCGCAATGCGTTGACACTAAGGGAAGCCAAGTTACATCATCGTGGTTCAATCAGGAATAGGTGAGGTGGAAGCACTTGTGTCGTTCTGCCTGGCAGGACGTGCATCAGACCCACACTCAAGCCACTTCTGCCGGGGTGAAGGATCGAGCTATTCACAGTAGTGATTTGACTTCTGGCCAAACACTGGTCAACATATTGAAATCATCTTGGCTTTGTAATTGTCTTTAAATTTTGAACATTTTGGCATTGTAATAGAAGTGATTTATAGAGAGCACAATTATATGTGGTTTTGTTTATACATGAAGTAACAGTAAGATAATTTAAAACTCAATGCTGACAACAAAGAGGGGCTTCCATTCAAAGGCGTCATTACTCATTGCGAAAGGCTGCTATTCTATCATTGGTCCTTAACATGGAAAAGAATGTTTTAAAAACATACCTGTAGCTACATTAAACAGACTCAATTTTTAGGAACCAAAATACAACACTTAATTGATGATCTAGGAATTCTCAAACATGTTTTCACCCCAGGGCACACCCAAAAAGAACTTAAAGGGAGCAGGTCACCGGGCCCATTATGTCAGACCTGTTGGGGACACTGCTGATGAAATGGAAAAGCTTTCCAAACACAAACATATTTTGGTAATTCCTCCTACAAGTGACTTGGTAAGGTTGGCATTTTGTTTTATTTTGTTTTTGCATCAAGTATATGACAAGTATCTGTGTGATTCAGGAACCATCCTGACAGCCGAGAGAAAGCAGGCCTCACCCGTGGATGCAGCTACATCTCATAACCTGCATCTTTTGCATACAAATGCAACCTGAGTCAAAGGACAGTTAGAGCAGCCCAGAGCCAGTGAGATGGCTCAGTGGGTAAAGGCACTTGCTGCCAAGGTTGACCTGAGTTTGAGCCCCAGGACTCACATGGTAGATGGAGAGAACTGAGTCTTACAAACTTTCCTCTGGCCTCCCCATGGTTCCATGGTAACCTCTGTTAAACATAGATCCAAATGTAATAAATATTTTTTTAAAAAAACAGTTAAGTGAACCTAACCCTAGACTGTGAAATTAAATAATCAGGCTCAAGGTCACGGATGGCAGACATGCTCATGGGCTCCGTAACGAATTCCTGGAGCCAGGAGCCACATCGGCAGACATAGGGTGTGCTCTGCCTCTGGACAGACTCCAAGGTTTTGGCTGTGGATAAAGTCACCTGCTTTCTGATTAAGTTGGAACACTTTGGGAATGCCAATTATTGAAGCATCATGCCAAGATAATAATCTGAGATGCCATCAAGATAATGGAACAGCATTGTCCCTGAAAGAACAAAATGTGTTTTCTAGTCTCAAACTGGCACCGGCCACTTCCTTGTCCCTTCCTCCAGTCTGCTGCAGTTGCCAGGGCTGCCTGTCACCGTGTCTGCACTGCCATGTCTTCCTCGCTCAATTTGGCTTACCCACCCCTGGCCCTACCCCACCCTCCTTCCTCCTCCCTCCCCCAGTTTGGATCCAGAATCACTTAGTACTACCACAGGGCACCCTCCTGCAATGGAAATTTACTGAAGTGGAATTGGTGTTGGGCCCTCTTAGCTCCATAACTGTTCTCAGCTCAACCTCCATGAATTTTAACTCAGGATCACTTAGGTTATTATTAGAATTTTATTATGATTATGATAATTATTATTTTGGTTTTTCCAAGACAGGGTTTCTTTGTGTAGTTCTGGCTATCCTGAAACTAGCACTGTAGACCACACTGGCCTCAAACTCACAGAGATCCACCTGCTTCTGCCTGTACCTCCTGGGTGCTGGGATTAAAGGTGTGCACTCCCAGTTCCTGGCTAGATTTAGATTTTTAAAAACTTAGTTCATGTGTGTTTGCTTGTGGTGTGTGTGTGTGTGTGTGTGTCCCATGTGCATACAGTGCCTGAAGAGGCCAGAAGAGGTGGGGGGAGCAGATTCCCGGCAACTGGAGTTACAGACAATTGTACACTGCCATGTAGATGCCAGAAATGGAATCCAGTTGTCTGCAAGAGAACTACTGACCCATCTCTCCACTCCAACACACACACACGCACACACACACACAGTGTCACTTATTTTAAATAGCAGAAAGCCCTGAACCACACGCTGGCAATCTTAGCTCTCTGGTTATCTTCATTAGATATGCTTTTCAATCACCTTAGATGTTTAGATGTTTGCCTCTTCCCCTCCTCTGCCCAGGACTCTGCCCCTGTGAGGGTTGGTGCTGCAAGCCAGAGCCTCCCTCATTCTCTCCCCCTCAACCCACCCTTTCCTTCTCAGTAGGAAGGACAGCTGGAAACAGGTCAGGAAGCTGGAAGAAAAGCCTTCCCTTCATTTCAAAGCACTGTGTGAAAAACTTATTTGTAGAATTGTAGACAACGGGTGTCAAACCTGGGCCAGTAAATTTGAGAGGCTTTGAAGGTCCTGCAGGCACAATGGTGAATTTCTCTGAAGAGATATTACAAAATAAGATGACAATCTTCCTTCTTGATCTTGTTGAAATAGATTGGTAGCAATGGGGAGGGCCAGATTTTTTCCTCTTCTAATTCACTTAAGCCAAGCACCTTGGTGGACTATATCAAAACCCTTAAGCAAATGCTGAAAGAAGGCACACACTTAATAAGATGCAGGCAACTGCAGGGGAGGGACAGAAGCTCATTCATCTATTGCCACCAGTTGTAGCCAGGGTAAAGAACCACTGTGGCCAGGTCTGAGTTTTTTCTGTGAAGGGACCTGAACTCAGCATCATGTGAGTGCTAGGTGAACTCTCAAGCTACACCTTTAGATACTAACTCTTACTTCAAAGGGAAGCTGTAAGTCCAGTGTGTGTTTGTAAAGGGGTGACTGTGATTTTTTTTGAAAGGTTGGCATGTGTATTTAAAAAGAAGACCAGACAAACTTTATATCCCACCTGTTTTCTAGACTCAGTCTGATTAAGGTGCAACTTAACAAAAGACATTATCTGTAACTTTGCATATGAAGAGAGTGTCTTTCTTTTTTTTTTTTTTATCCTTTAAGGAATTAATAGTCTATAATCTATCTTCAGGAAGCCATTCTCCTTAAACTTTCTATGGCCAGTGTCTGTGTCATAGTTCATTAACTTACATTAGTTAAGTGCTAGCAGGGTGTGGTGGCTCATGCCTATAATCCAAGCATTTAGCCTGAAGCAGAAGGATTGTCAAGAGTTTGAGACTAGTCCAGGATGCATAGTATGTTCTAGGCCATCCAGGGCTGCCACATGAGATTCTGTAGTTCAGTGGTAGAGGAGGGTTCCGTAAATGCAGTAGTGAATGCTACAGGAGTAGGTTGCTTTCAGCCCAAAATGCAGTTATGGTCTCTACATAGTCACTACAAATGCACAGGCTAAATTCTCTTCAGTATAACTTGTATGGCTCGATCTTTCTGATCATGCTTCCCCTTTTAAGAGCTAGACTGAAGTTTGGTACCCACAAGGCTGACTGCCTTGTGACAGCTTACCTGCTAACACTTTCTTTTTCCTTTAGGGAAAAAAATGCATGTGCGAGAGAGCACGCTCATGCGCACACTTGGGCACACACACAAACACACACAGACCCATATGTGCATACACATGTGCATGTAGATACATGTATACACACACACACACACACACATACACACACACACACACACACCTGTTAAGAAAGTTTAGCTGTTTAAGGAGTTTAAATGGAGAACAGCTTCTAGCTGGGAAAAGCTAGTATTCTGTTAGCAGAAAGTTGCACCTGTATGGAAGGACTCATCACCAGACAGCCGATTAATATTCCAGGGGTACTGGTTTCTCCTAATCTTGAACCTGGGCTGTTCGCCAGATGATCAGAGAGCAATGGAAAAGTCTTACCCGAGAAAGGTAGAAATTTCTTCCAGCCCCAACTTAGGAGGCATCCCCTCTTCCACTGGAGACACAGGTTACTGGTGCCCCCAACTCACCTTCTGAGGTTCGAAAAGCCACACACAGCGCCACAGTCATGAGGGTAAGCCCAGCTTGCTGCATTCCCGCCTGACCCGCTGAGTCTGGCAATGACTTAGGTGAGGCTGTGGGATCAGGAAGTAAATCTAAAGGTGTCCTTGGGTGCCGAGAAACAGCTTAAGTAGGCCAGGTAGCCCCACCCTGGAAGGTTCTCACCTTTCTTTCCTAATGTCAGGTTCCGGGCTGGCAGTTAATGCCCAGCCTGCTGTGTGCTCAAATTGCCAGAGACTGGCCAGCATCTGTGAATGCCAGCTGATGAGGTCCTTATGAGTTGGTAGTATTCATCAGAACCATTTGGAAACCATTAAAAATCTAGCAGTCTGTATGAACACATCTGCCAACCTCTACACTCCTGAGTTCTAGGCTAGGTTAGGAGTATCTTTTGAATTTCATCGTAGCTTCAGGGGTGATTCTGATGAACATGTCTGTTGAGAATCATTGCTAAATAATTTTTTTTTAGGGGTTTGAAACAGGGAGTTTTGGGTGACAAGAGTGATGAGTCATAAAAAATTATCTGGATTGAAACATAAGAGAAGGCTCACGTGGGCTCGGTGTGCAGTCAGATTTTTGGAAAGGGAAGGTGAAGGGCAGGATGGAGAAGGAGGGTTGACAGGCATGAGGATGCGGCTGAAGAGGAGGAATCATGTTTGATGCACCGCACCACAAAGAGTAACTATGGCTAACAAAAATAAACTGCATATTTCAGAAAAGCCAGCAGAGAAGATTTGAATGTCCCTAACACAAGGAAAGGGTGAAGATGGTCCCAGCTACTCAAGGTCTGACCCTAAGCACACAAGGATTGAAATCTCACACTGTACCCAACAACATAATTTTATGTTAGTTAAATCTACACTTATGTCTTAGTTAGGGTTTTCATTGTTCTGGGAAGATGCACCATGACCAAGGGAACTCTTATAAGGACAACATTTAATTGGGGCTGGTTTACAGGTTCAGAGGTTCAGTCTGTTAATATCAAGGTGGGAAGAAGGGCAGCATGCAGGCAGGCATTGTTCTGGAGAAGAAGCTGAGAGTTCTACATCTTGATCCAACTGCAGCCAGGAGAGAGGACTGGCATCATCAAGCTGCTAGCAGGAAGCTCTCTCAAAGCCCGCCCCCACAGTACACACTTCTTCCAATAAGGTCACACCTCCTAATAGTGCCACTCCCTGAGCCAAGTGTATTCAAACCACCACAATATACACACACATGTATTTAAAGACAGAAGGTAAATAATAATCTTCCTGCCATGTGCACTCTGACCTTATAAAAGGTTTCTAAACATCACATTTCACAAAACAAAACAAGGACAGTGGAACTTACTTTACTCCTTGTCTTGAAAATTTATATACAGATGCACTATTTCAAAACTCCTCTCAACATTCAAATGTCCCAGGATAACTACCCATTCAACAACCTCCCCGCAACACTCTTTTTATATTAAAGCTCATTACCATTTAACCTGTATTAAGTGTGAGTTCTAATTCATAGTTAATGGACATGTTTCAACAGACCATAGTCTCATATTAAAACTTGGCTCCAAATACTTATGGCAGACTACTGAGTTACTTAATAATTTTTTTTTATTATCTCCATGTTATGTTATATTGTATCCACTGTAGAAAATTTGGAACATGTAAAAACAAAAATCTCCCTCATTCTCAGCTACACAAGGCTTCTCTTATGACTTTTCATGTTGTCACTGAGAGCAGGGAACAGATAGCTCTCGTTAGCTTCGCCTCCGTCATGGTCAGCTCTGTTTTGATAACTCTACTTTATATTTTTAGAAACTAGTTGTCCCCTAAAAATACATTCTTTGTAAGTTGTAAATATGTGCTTACATCAAGATTTGCATTTTAGGAAGATATGCAAAAAATCTACTAACCAGATACCCAACTTATAACCATTTATATGATACCATTGCATTTAAACAAAAAAAAAAAATCTGTTGTAATTCCTCTTTAGTGTTTGGTTTGTATATCCTTCTGACTTTGTGTGTGTGTGTGTGTGTGTGTGCATGTGTGTTTGTTTTTTGTTTGTTTTTTGAGAAAGGGTTTCTCTGTGTAGTCCTGGCTGTCATGGAACTCACTCTGTAGACCAGGCTGGCCTCGAACTCAGAAATCCGCCTGCCTCTGCCTCCCAAGTGCTGGGATTAAAGGCATGTGCCACCACCGCCCAGCCAGCATTTTCTTTAATGAATTCTTAGACGTGGGAATTCTCTGGGCCTCTAGGGAAATGGCTCAGTGGGTCAAAGTGCTTTTCACACAAGTCCGAGGACTTGGGTTTGGGTCTGAGAGCCCATGTGCAGTGGACATCGATAACCACATCTCAGAGCACTTCGACTGCCAGGAGAGACAGTAGAAAGTCCTCAGAGACTGGCTAGCCTAGTGCGCACAGGAGTGAACAACAGATCTGTCACAGACCCTGTGGGCAAGCAACATCCAAGGTAGACCTCTGACTCCATTCATGTACCATACACACGAACGCACACAGAAGTGCACGCACACATGCAAACATTTTATCTTAAAGAGAAAGGACGTCAAAATTCTAAAACTGTATGCCCATATGAATCACTTTTAATATAAATTGCCAGCTTATCTTAAAATCCTGCCTAAGTCCCTGCTCAATCGCTCTCTTCAGATAGGCTGAGCTCTGGAGGGGCAGGATGTGTTAACATGTTCCTCCATCCGTATATATATCCAACGCCTTGACCAGTGCTCAACAAATAATGGACGCTTTGTGTTTGGTGAATGGATAATAAGCTGGATAACAGAACTGAGCAGGTTTTCCTGCATGAGGAAAGCCACACCAGGGGGCCTGAATCTGAATGGTTTTCAACTGGCACCTTTGGCCTCCTCTATTTGCCATTTTACTGGCAATAATGCTTTAAAATTCATTTCTCCTCAGGGATTATTTTCTAAATTATAGTAAAAACAGAAAGTGTGTATATTAGAGGAGGATTAAGGAATTATAGATAGAATCAGGGGCAAGCGGACAAGGATGAGGCGCTGTGTGTGATAGTTCAGAAAACAGTATTCTCCAGATATACTACCTGGCCTTTTCCAGCTAAGGCAGCTTTAGAGCCGTGTTTCATGGTTTATGCTCTAATGAAATATGTGATGAGAATGGGCATATAAAATGCCAAAGCAAACAGGAAAGCACGCAGGACTAATCGCAGGGACAAAGTCTGAGCCTGAAGCAGTAAGGAGGGAGTTTCCCTCGTGTAGAAATTCCTGGTTAACACTCCAGCTGCCTGACTGGCAGGAACACTTTATACTGTTGCTGTTCTTAGCATTTCTGTTTTCCAGATCCATGGATAATCTGACTTCATCCCGATGTCACTATGTTCTGTCTTACTACGGTGCCGAGGCACAGGAGTCAACAAGCCGGGAAGCAGGGTGCACATTGGTACTATCAGCTAGAAGCAAGAAAAGCAAATTAGGAGTGACTAGTTGCCAATGTGTCTAAAAACAAAAATGACTGACGCATAATCTGGACGTGAAGTGCTTGTACAAACTTAATACAGCTAGCCTGGGGTACACTGCCAGCTAGCCTGGGGTACACTGGGGTGCAGTCAGTGTTTGACATTGGGGGAAACTGGATCCTTCATTGACCGACTTTGAAACAGCTGGTTGCCTGCATGTAAAAGGACAAAGCTGAAGCATTAAAATCTAATGCACTACGTATTTAAAGAAGCGTGACTTGTTTTAAATTTGTAGACCAGGGAAACTCTTTCACATGAAACAAGATTCGGAAGCCATAGAGGATACACAGTATTTTAGCATTCAAGGGTCTAGAGAGATGGCTCCGTGGTTAAGAGCTATTGCTGCTCTTGCAAAGGGCCTGGTTTTGGTTCCCAGAATCCACATGATAGTGCTCAGTCAACATCTGTAACTCTAGGCTCAGGGGATTCGATGCCATCTTCTTGCCTCCTCAGGAGCCAGACACCCATGGGTGCATATACATGCAGGCAAACACTCATACACATTGAATTTTAAAAATGACCATTCCAGAATACCAAATCCCACTGTTGGGGGCTCCATTATCCCAAAGTGAAGGGAGACCTCCAAGCCAACTCAGCAGCTGCTTCTGCTGCCCTGCTGTCTGCCTCATTCTCCAGTAAAACAAGCTTTGGAATCCAGAATTGCTCTTCTCTGAGACAGGTCTCAGAAACTAGGCCCTTCGCCAAAGCCTGCCATGATACATGAAATTCCTGTCTTTCTCTCCTTCCCATTAGACTCTGCCAGAACCATCCTGCCCCACGCTCTCCATCACACAGAAGTCAAGAAGAACCTTAGCATCGTCCTTGGCAGACTCTGTGGGACACTTAGCATTAGACCTTATTCCCTTAGCATAATTATACTTCTTCACGGCTGTGCTGTTTTGAACCTAGGCACAGAAATGATTTGTTTACTCAGTGTCTGAGGTCTTCAGTGTGGGCATCCTCTGCATCCAAAACTGTCTAATGACTGGCGTGTTTGTCTTTTTGTCTTGTTTCTTGCTATGGAGTGTTAGCCTTGACTCTGCTGAGCAGGAGGAACTCACACCCCTTTCCATTCCTATACCATGAAGGGGAAAACTTAGATAAAAGGGAAAGGGTGCAGGTATGTAAGGATATCTTGTATGTCCACATGAAAGAAGTGAATGGGTCAAAAGAAAAATGACTATACATATAAACAGGTAATTCAAACAGGTGCCATCCCTGGGCTGGTGGTCCTGGGTTCTAGAAAATAGAGGCTGAACAAGCCAAGTGAAGCAAGACAGTAAGCAGCACCCCTCCATGGCCTCTGCATCAGCTCCTGCCTCCAGGTTCCTGCCCTATCTGAGTTTCTGTTCTGACTTCCTTCAGTGATGGACAGTGATGTGGAAGTGTGAGTCAAATAAACCCTTACTTTTTGGTCATGGTGTTTTCATCACAGCAATAGAAACCCCAAGCATAGTGGTGAGTGTTTATAATCTTTGAGCACATACACAGACACAGACACACTCACAGACACATAGTCACAGACATACACGCACACAGACAT